GTTCTGCACACAATAAAACCTAGTTCAGCTTGATAACCTTTCCTCAATGTAACAGTTAATCTGATGTTCTGTAAGTTTTAATTTTTATATTACTGTTTGGGTAATCAATAATATGCTTACTTATGTGTTATATTTAAAAAAAATGTGGGAACCAATAAATACATGTTTTTATTAATTTTGTGCTAATAACATTTCTTTGCTTATTATCTCAGAGAATGATAGGCAGACAAGATTATGTCAGTAAAATTGTAATATATAGGTTACTTGATTATTTAATGTCAAAAAGCATAAAAACAATCTTATTATAATGGAGCATGTGATGTATACGTCCAAAACCCGGATCTCTGAAACTACCTCACCGATCATCTTCAATCATAACTGGGTAATATTTTTATAACAAGGCAGTATTTTTATAGCTGAGCAATAAATAAAACAATTGAAATTTCCACAAAAATAACATGTTTCTGATTTAACCAATAAAAATTACAAAAAAGGAGCAACTTTCAAGTATGAAACAATCAAAAAAACAAACTTAAAAAAATTATTTGTTTTTCTTTAGTGAACATCTCATGAGTGTTGCAACAGAAAAGCAAGGCACTTTCATTGATAACTGCATCTACAAAGAAATACTTCAATAAAATCTACTCTGTGATGCAATGCTATGATGTTAACTCATTTTCATACTAAAATTTCAATAAAATCCTTTTTCTCATGGATGGTAAACAGTATTGAATGTCAAGTATGAATATATTGTTGTAGAACTGTCAGACAATTCCAGAAAAGGCTGCAGGCCCAATAGCCTTTCGCAGGAACTAGCAGTTATACCTGCCTGGAGGGTATTTCTGCTAGTATGGATAATGCTACAGAAAACAAACAACACAAATGGTGCTACAACATACAGGAATTTTGGCTAAATAATAAGTAAAATTCAACTTTTAAGGTGTACATTTTATGGAATTGTTTGTGTTTGCTTGGTTTTGAAATAACATTCCCACTAACAATGAACATAGTGGGAATACCTTGCCATGACTACTAATTAATCTCAAATGATGTAAATGTACTTTATTAGATACTTAACAGTACTTCAGCACTATATGCATATCTCTCTAAAAACCAATAACTGGTAATTGGATATTAAAACTAAAAAAATGTAAGGCAAACTTTGCAACCCTTAGCTGCACGCTTCTTATTTTCAATGGAGAAGCTGTATCACTCTTTTGACATTTTTACTACACATTCAAGAATACTACTGTTTAAGAAGATCTGTCTTTGACAATCCAGTGTGTAATAATGTAATAAAAAAAACTTGATTAAAATCAATTCAACTCAATTTTTACATATATTATTATCTTGTTTAATCCAATTTTTTACTCACTTTTCAACTAGTTTTTGGAATGAATACCAGTAGAAATAATCTAATTTGAGGTAGTATTATTCTATGAAATGAGAAAGACAAAACTATGAGCATATTTGTTTGGATAAGTTCATAATAAGTTGAAATGACTTACATTGTATTCTTTAAGTTGTTTGGACAACTTTTTGTCCTTAGTTACTTGAGCCAAAACTTGTGGCTCTGGTAGCAGAGGTTTACTGGAGCTTTTTCCTTCCTGTTTGGATTACCAAGAATTAAATATAAAAGTCATCAATGAGTCAATGGGGAAAATACATTTCTTAATACATATAAAGTTAACAAACAAAATAATATTTCTGAGCATACACAACCTGAATATCAAATTTAAAAGAATCCCCATCCTCAAAACAAAATATAAATAAAACTTCTTGAAGAATTATGTACTGCCACTGGATTTTAAACAATGACTTTTCGATATAAACAAAATGAAATTTTAATGAATGAGTAGATGATTCAGTTTACATGTTAAGTATGAATATATAGAGCTAATGTATGCTTTATTTATCAATTACTTGCAATGTGCTTAGACACTGAATACTTGTAGAATGTGTACGTATAATTATTACAACTATATCTAATCATGAAATCATTATAATTAGCTACTGTTGTTACAAAATTAATTTTTCTTTCTCTCTATACACACACACTTGTACTTTTATATGATATCACAGAAGTTGTTTGATAGTTGTATATTTTGGTAACTGTAAACTTCTCACTGAGATCAGAATACTCCTGTTATTCTATTGTTCAAAGTCACATAACAAAGTTCGCAAAAGGATTAATAAATACTCCATTACTTACAAAGGTAGCTATAAAACAAAACAAGATTCCGGGAAGGTGTTAATCAATTTATTCTTCTTGTTTTAAAATTGTATTTATCAAGAACAAAATCTTTCTTCCCAAAATGTTGAGTATCATTTTATTAAACCATGTATCCAAAACAGTAGAAAATCATGAATAACTTAAAATAAAAATATTTAATTATTCAATAACAAATGCATAGAAGCAAAAACATTTGTTTTTATTCTATAGACATTGATACCTGTAGTTTTTGTGCTTTATCTTTTGGTGTATCAGTCCAAACTGATCGATCCTGTCCTTTACTAGAGGTAGTCTGGTTACTAAATGATCGAGGGCCTAAACCAAATTGTTTCCCAACATCTGGTGGTAATTCTATCATCCAGGTCTCTCTTGCAGGAACTTTATTCTTCAGGTCATCCTTGAAATAATGCATAAAAGATACCATTGTAAGTATATATATTTGACTCAAGTCACTGTAAAAACAAACAAAATAAAAAAAGATGTTTAAAATTTAAAAAATTACAGCTATATACATATAAAGTTTTGGTAAGTTAAAATCTCCTAAATCATTTCTTTCCTGACTTAATGAATCAATTTTCTTCTAATGCATACACTATAACTTGATACGTGTAGCTTTATATAGATCATTAAACACGTCAGAATTAATACTGGCTTTCTCATATGTCAAATATCAGTCCCATTTCCAATGATTACATGTAGTTAGTTACATATAAGATTCCTAAAATTTTTATAATTAATGCAAACTAATTTTTTTCACATAAATCTAGTTATATCTGGTGAGAAAAACAAAGCCATACATAAATAATTTACATTAGAGCTGGGCAATTTAATCGATTTTCTATGAGTAGCAATTACACTGGTTAGTGTTTCTAATCATTTCAACAACTGATTAATAAAAATTAAGTTTTTAAATACAATGTTACAAAAATAATCCAATAACCAAAACTAGGATTTTCACTTATTACTACTATTTCCAGTTATTTCACATATCTAAAGTAATGAAAATATTATTATGTTTGTTTATTATTAAGCACAAAGCCACACAGTGGGCTATCTGTGTTCTGCCTAATTTCAGCCTTATAAATTTGTTTTTTATTTTAGGGGTCTTGGGTTTGATTCCTATTGCTACAAAACTGACTATGGGGAAGGAAACCATCTGGCAGCAGCTCTCATCAACTTTTTTATTTATTTATTTTTGAGCTGCTGACAAGAAGGAAGGTAACAGGCTGGCAACATCTGCTGGCAACTTTTTTTTGTTTGTATGTACCATGGCTTGAGGAACACTACTAATCAATTAACCCTACGTGCATGGGTGGGGTCCAAGTACTCGTCATAACCTTTTACACAGTGCCATTCAGCACGGTATTATGCATTTTCTGTCAGAGTTATCAACTATTCATTTTACCATAAATTACTGAGTTAGCACATATACATGGTAAGGAGAGTAAATACCAGATGCAATATACAGGGATCTGAAAGAAACTGTAGATGTGCATTTCAAAGGTTTTAGAGGTTATGCAATATGCAAACCGTACAGTGGATAAAGATATTTTTACTATTCACATGGACATCACCTTGCACTCGGACTTGTCAGTGTCCGAGTCATACTTATGTCAGCAATTCATAGATATATCTTGAGTACAAATACACTTGTAACATTTTTTTTTGTACATTTGATTAAAAGCTTGTCACATTTCTTATAGATACATGTAGTAAATTCAGAATTATAGACAACATTCCTTTTTCAATATGGGGGTTGATTCAATAAAACAATCCTCTACATATTCAGTTAATGTGTGCTGTTGATTAATCAATCAGTAAAGACTACTAACTGCCCTGTTCTCTGTAACAACATTTACTTTAGTTTTCATAATTGTATAAATTGGCCAAAACTATGTGTACATGTTATTTCATGAAGCCTTTGCACCAATTACATTTAAGTTTAGAAGGCCTTAAACTATAAGCTGCTGCTTGAATATTGTTATCTAACTTTCTAAAATTCTCTACAATGTATCTACAACTTTAGTTAAGCAAACTAAAATAGAGAGCATGTCAATTGTATCTTGAGCACCATTCCTTCTAACAACAGAATAACACGATTTAAAACAGACTGATGAAGAATGTAAGAATATCTCAACCAGTTGTAGGATTGAGGGGTAACAGTAAAGAAACAAAGTGAACAAATGTATGTCAACTTTCATGATATCTCACCCATGTCCATGTATCACTATATCAAGTTATTTAAAGCTCTTATCAATTAATTATGTTAATTACATACTGGTATATCAAATATTACAGACTACGAGTAAAAATGTAATTGTAAGATACACACCAATAAAGGTTGACTTACAACTTAATTAGTATCTCATTAAAATATATTTCTAATGATGCAACATTTTATTAAAAACCTACAATAGAACAGTACAAGAGTATCAAGAGATGAAAAGACACGCACATTTCCTTCAAGTTTGTTCTTCATTTTCTTTGATCTCCTTTCAATTTCCTGAGACACATCCATTACTGTCTCTTTTTCAATGGCCATTGATGGCAAAGGCCCAATAATATCAGTCTCTGAGTTTGAATCACTGTCTGAATTGCTAGGTTCAAAAGACTGTTTAAATCCTGGGGGAAATGTAGGACCTGCTACTACATTATTACTCTCTGTTTTTCTAGATCCTGAAACCCCTGGTCCTATTAAGCTTGAAGTGGTACCATTTTTGGAGGAGTCATTACTTGTACTACTTGCTACATGGGCTTCTGGTTCACTATCACTAGATTTATCACTATCGTGTTTTATGAAACCTGATGGCAAAGATGGTCCAATAACATTATGTTTTGAACTTTGAGGTTCTCCAAAATCTTCACCTTTAAGATCAGAATGTACTTGTTTGAAACCTGGAGGTAATGGAGGTCCAAAGAAATTCTTACTATCAGTCATCTTTGTTTCACATGAACTCAAAAAAGAAACGGCTAACTTTCAGTTATGTAGAATATACATAATGCCATAATTAAGAATGTAAAAATTTATTCTAATAGAGAATCCACAGACATACAGGATCAACTCCCTGTTACACTTATGAATCTGCTTGGTGACAAAGAGAATTCATGTTTTTTCTGCAAGAAAAAACGAAAAATATTTCCATTAAAATATGTAAAAAAAACAACAAATTAATATCACCACAAAGTAAATTCTGTACATATCACATGTCTATCATTACATAATATCAAACATCTTCAGTGCAAATGAAGTATATGTATGTATATATAATAACAAAATGACCCCTAAAATACATGTGGTAAGTTTCACCCATGCTCATTCCGAGTAAACTAGATGATTAAATCAATTACCTATGAACATTGATTATATGAATTAATGTCAAATAAAATTACTAACGAATCAAAATTATGATTAAAATCAAATGTGACAAAAATAATCAACTAATCATGGATTTGGTTCCAATTGCCATCAAACATGATTGTACTTTCAGTTGTGGATGTATTATAATCATTTTTTTGTTTATGAGTTATGGAAAAGCTACTGTTCTGAGGCTATATGCCACAATCCCTAATTTTGAACTGATGACCAAAGGAAACAGCAATATCCATCACCAAATATTAAAATATGCAATAGTAAAATCAAACAACATTATAGAAAGAAAACTAAATCCTGCTACTGTGATTACACATATGCCTTGTAATTTTATGAAAAGTTCCCTAACAGTAGTGGCTTTTCTCAAAATTTTAATTTCAAGAGTTAGTTGGGAAACACTTCTGTCCAAGAAACTATACAAATTGCTGACATATATATAAATAATGATGAATAAAGGTTCTAAAATAGGTCTCAAAGAGATCCTATTACTTACAATTTTAACAACTGAAAATTAAGATTCATGACCACTTTATGCTTTCTTTTTACTAATAAGCCAATGTTCTGTTGATTCCTTGACTTGTTAGAACATCACAAGCTCTTTGAAGTCAAAATACATAACAATTTGGGAGCTCTCATCCAGAGAAAATCAAATGTCCTATCAAAAACTCCAATGGTCTAAGGAAAGAAAACGTTTTTTGAAAACTATGTTGAGGATCATTAACTATATACTATCTATATTTATTCTTTTTTAACTGCCTTCTGAAATAAGACTGCAACAAGTAAAATGAGAAGTCAATCTAATGAATCCGTAATTTACCATGTCATCCTTGGATTTTTTTTTTTAAATAGGGACAAACTGACAATTTTCCAATTATCAAACCTATCTCCTGTATCAAGAGACTTTAGAAAAAAAACAACAATTAAAGCTCTATTTGTTTTTCAATAAACTTTTTCAATACTATATAATGATTCTCATCAAGAAAAGTTTTACTCTATGAAGATTTACCAAACGTTAAAAAATATTCCTTCTTTATCAGAAATATAATTCTGGGTCAAAGTGTTTCAATTTTAATTTTGTTTAGCTTAGGTATTATTTCTCCTTCTGCAATAAATGCACTAGTAAAAAATTTAAAGCTTCAGCCATATCCGTTTGCTTCATAAAATTATGTTTAAAATAACTGAAAGGACTAATATTATCTTTGACTTTAATTTTGATTTAACATACACACAAAAAAACTCTTTTCTAAATTTGATGTTCTAAGTTTAACAACCCTTAATGGCTTCAACAACAGATTTATTGACATTATTTCAAAAAGTACTCGTTTCTAGTAGTAATTTTTCTCTTCTTGTAGGCTTAACAGTTTACATAAATTAAAAGTTTCCCATTCATCTACTTAGGAATGAGCTTATGGTTTGAATGCAAGATTCTGGAAAGAATAATCCCTTTTTCAACTAGCTTGGTCTAATTAATAAAAATGTCCCAAGCATGTATTGACATATTTTCAGTTATATCAATAGTTACCTAAATTTCCCCTCTTATAATATAATTCAGATTTTGGAAGTCAGTTTTTCAAAAATTGAAAACTTTATTCTTTTAACTCAACAACTGATTTAAACAAAAATAACTTTAAAGGAAATGATGTTATAATTATTAGTGCTCAATTTAGATTTTCAGAAAAAAACTCCATACACAAAAAGTATATTAATAAAAGTAAATATTCATATCATAAGGGTAGCAATTAGGAATGGTCAATAAATCATTTAAATTTTCTGATTATATTGAGGTTTTGAATGTTGCAAGATATAAGGATGATGCTGATGGTGCTTTACAAAAGGATTTAGATCATTTGGTGAATTGGGCAAATAAATGACAGATATCTTAATCATACTAAATGCAAGGTAATGCATAAGGATTATCATAATTGATCTGTAAGAATAATTTTAACAGTGTTATAGAAAAAAAGATGTTGAAATTCTGGTTGAGAAGTATCTTAAGCCATCCAAGCAGTGTGCTGATGTTAGTAGTAGGGAAATATGATTTTAGGTTGTATCTACAGAAATACTGAACACAAGTCTAAAGACAATTTGATTTGACAGATCACTGGTTAGGCCTCATTTGGAGTATTGTGTTCAGTACTGGACATCCTATCTTACGAAGGACAATGGATTGTTGGAAAGGGTTCAGAGGAGAGCTACTAAGATGATACTTGGGATGGAAAGATTGTCATACAGAGGTTAAGATCTATAAAATTGTTTTCTCTGGAAAAAAAAGACTAGCTAGAGGAGATCTGATTGGGGTGTTTTAAGATTAAGAGAAATGATGGTGTTGGTACATCATATTTAATGGTGCAAATAATAGACACTGAGGGACATTAATTATGGTAAGGTAGGAGTTATCTTCAGCTAAGGCAATTTTATTTTTCTAACAAGGCACTTGGCCTTTGCAATGATTTGCTTTTAAATGTGGTGGATAAAGGCTGGCCTAGATGGATTAACAGGTCCCTTGTTGTCCTTGAATGCTATGTATATGATAAAATGGTATGGTTGAACATTTTTTCTATCATTTCAGTGTATCTTGTAATTAAAGCCAGCAATAAGCTCACATGGATTGTACTTTCTAAGTACCATTAAGGTTTGGGCTAAATATGTCTATAATCAGTGTTAGACCTCATAGCTCATTAATTTACTCTTTGAATCTCGTAGTTTTTGAACAATGTAACTTGTAAATGTCAAGTGACAGACTATGTGGAAGTGCTTGCTCTAGCTACGTGTAACAGAATAGAATGTACTTTTTGGAAAATCATTTATATTTTCTACCTAAACCTAAAATTATATTTTCAACGGTTACTAATTTCAGCTCAATTGAAAGAAATGAAATTGGATGTACAGGAAAATGTATTGGAAGCATGAGTTATAGGCTGTCAAAGCATGACAGTCTGAAAGTATTAGCATTTTTTTATTTGTAGCATATGTCGAGAGAAAGAGCATGGAAGTGTGTGAGGAATGAAGTTAGCAGATGCGCGAGTCTGTTGATAAATATTCATTACAAAAGCATACTATGATAACGATTATCTAGTATATATTATACTCAACACACATAACTAAAATGTTTATAATAATGTTGTTTATTAATTACAATTTGTGAAGTCATCTTTTTTGTAAGCATAAATTATGATATACCTCAACAGTTCTGTGCCATGTACAAGGTGTTTCACAGAGTTAAGGTTGTTTGCTTTTTTGTAGTTATGTGCAAAGCTGCACAGCAGGCTGTCTGTGCTGTTTGCACTATGGGTATTGAAACCCAGTTTCTAACATTATAAGTCTGCAAACTTACCACTATGCCACTAGGGGGCACAGAGATAAGTAAATTACTGAAAACATGTGACATCCATGCATGCTGAGCTGCTATATATAAATACTAGTGGTATGTACCATAATAGCACATACCATTATTTACTTTAGAATATATATGCTTTCTGTCTTAAACCATAATAACATTTTTACAATTACCAACTGAACTCCTAACATAAACTACTCGAACCGAGAGAACACAAATAAACAAGAAAATACACAATTAGTTCCATTTATACAGTAGTAACATGCAACATACTGTGTAAATGGTAGCATCATTTCATTTTCAGCACATCTATGAAAATTTCATTAACAAAGGGCTTGAATACAGTTAAATTTCAATATTTATTCTTATACCTTCCACGATATAAAGAAACAAAACATCTTATTACTTACTAGAAATTTTCTACTTAAATGTCCAAGAAACAGAAATTATTTTAAGGCTAAGTTTACCTGATCCATAATCTAAGCTTTCAGCTCAGTCTGTTATATCAAACAATATTTTGACTTGTGGCATCACCAAAATTCAGTGTTTAAAACTTTTGATACATCCTCTTCAATGTATCACTCCTTATTTACACATGCATGATCCAAACATACAAAATGTTTTTATCATGGAAGCACTTAACCATAATGAATAAATAAATTTATATCGAAACCTATTAGGGTTGTTAAAATGCACTTATTTTACTAATTGTAACTATAATAGTAACTAGTCAGAATTGGAAAATTGGGTACAATTGTATGTAACTTACAAATGTAAGCATTACCTTCAATGTTGAATACAAAATACAAAAAATTACAGTTACAATATCCCAACTGAGATGAAATACCTCCTACATATTATTTTCAAACCTCCCTCTGAATAATTTAAGATATAAATAACCTATAAAAAAGTAGTTTCAGTCTGAATGCAAAAAGTATATTTCAAGTTAGTGTAATGGCTGCCCAATACAAATGAAAAACAATAGGTAACATTTTAACATTAAAAACTTATCCAATACCTCAATAGTTCAAATTAGTATGCATATACATATAATTTAAGGACAACAAGGGGGCAGTTGATTGATATCAGCCATCTCATTCACTACACTAAGTCTAAAATAAAAATACTCAAGGCCAGCTCTTATCATTCACATATTTATTGAGTCTTCCCCTAAATTCCTTTAAATTAACTACATTTACCATATCACATTCCAAAGGCCAACCACCATTAGGAAATTAAAGCTGTCTTAGATGAATATGTATGATTCATACCAAGCCACAAATATATATTTGTGTCCCCTAGTCTTACCATTCTCACCATTAAGTTAAAAACAAAAATGATACATCAACACTATCAATTCCCTCAACACTCTTAAACACATCAATTAAATCCAATCTAACTCTTTTTCTTGTTACAAGAAAAAACAATTTCTGAGATCTTAAATGATCCTTGCATGACAAACTTTCCTTTCCACCGATTCCTAGGTTCATCTTTGTAGTCCTCCTCTAAAACTTTTTCCACAATTTAATGTTCTGGCAAGTTCTGCAACATTTGTAAATTGAAGGACTGAAATGACATTCTTTTAATTTTTCATTTCATACATAACAAGTTAAATACTATGTAAGTAAACATTTGCCTAAGAAAGTAGCATTAAGTTTTAGACCTGAGGTAGATGAATGACAGGTTATAATAATAATCAGCCTAAACGTGTTACAACTTTTATACACAAGTTTCCAATTTCTTATACAAAATACTGGAGATATAAGAACAAAATAGGGAAATTTATCAACATGTAGAAAAAATATTCTATATTTTTAAAATCATAACACAGATTTATTATGACAAAAAAGAAGTAGACTAACAAACCTGGAGACACATCTGTTTATAAACATAAATGATATATATATACATATATATACACACACACCTCACATAGATATAGACAAACACACATACTCGCTATCTTCCACTTTGTTTTCCATAATTAAATTCTTTTTGAATTAAGAAACAGGTACTAGTAACCATGTTCAGCCTGACCAATATGATAAAATAGTGAAGCCTTAGTCTAGTTAGCTCTAGTTTAGAGTTTCAATGTTATTTAGTTAGAGTCGACTAAGTGAAAATAAAACTTAACTCGTGCCTAAGAGTAACATTGTTACTGAGTTAACTTTTAAGAATTATGAGTGACATAAATGATGAAACATTGGAAATTTCAACAATGAACGTTGAAAAAAAAAGGGTTGAGTCAGGTTACTTGTCAAGTTCAACTTTCAAAATTCAAGTAAAATTTAAAAAAGCCGTGTATAATGACAAACAGTACATACAAAATTCACAGTTAGATACAGAGAAACTTGGATAATTTAACAATAACTTATAATAAGTGAATACCACTTTTAGCAGTTTAACTAAAAGTAAAAGTCCTCTCCTAACAACAACTTTTACTTTTAGAAGTTACACTGTGTAAGGTGTTTCTGATCAGGACAACATCAACAACAACAAAAAAACCTTGTTAAAAACTGATGTTATTGTTATTCCATCTGGTAACTTTAAATAAAACTGACTCTTGAGTCGAAGGAATTAGAATAAAACAAAAGGTATTTACTGTTTAGTAACAAAGTATAGACTTTCCTAATTTCAATTATCAGTTTTTGACTGAATATCTACATTTTTTCGTAAGCCTAATAACGTAATATAACTACGGCAGAGACCACCTATGGACGTAATTGCACGCACACGAACTTCTTAAATCGTAACGAAAATGAAGATGAAAAAAAAGGTTAAATTACTCTTTCCAAATAACCAAGATTATGATGTGATTCAGAAGGGGAAGCAAATTACACTTGCTGTTTTCGTTATGATACAGTGGATGAGGAAATCATTAGTCAAAATTGCTCAATTAATGATTTTAAAAACTCACTTGATCACATTCAGTTATTTGATATCAATATGTTCCTTCTTGTTATGATTATGAAGCTAAAATTGCTATTTAAAACAATCTTATAACACTAGCTCATTTGTTGTGTGACGGATTTATTATTATTTTGACATTGATGTTTGTTTAAATTAAATTTATTTTTAGAAATGTACATAACATGCACTGTTAAATGTGTATTGCGAAACTCCGCCTATTTTCTAAAGTTGTTGTTACGTCTCTGTTCGTTTGTTAATTTTCCGTAAAAATTCTTTCTCACAAACTTCAGCGATACAAGTCCTTTCTTAAATAAAACTAGTTTATTATTTCTCAATACAACTTTGCAATACACTTAATTTCAACAGTCACTTTAACTTAAACACACGCTATAATTCACAACGATTCACGCACTACCGCGTTTGACTCAATTGTCTGTCTCTGTCTGTCTGCAATTATCTTTCTATCTCGTCACTTTATTTGCCGGCTTATATACTATAAGATCGCGTGTCTAGCAAACACTCGAGCCTTCAGGAACGTTCGAGATACTCATTACGTATTACAAGTGTCGCGTGACTTCCCCTGTCGTAACACTGTCCCTTCCTTAGTATTGTTCGTCCCGAACAATAGCCACTTAAGTTAAACCAATAGATAATTAACAATAACTTAATTAAATGTACATAATTTACAAACATTACAAACAAAATTAAAATTCAACAAAGTCTTTTCATTTTACGGGACGTATCTTCTTCTGTACTGACTTCCGCTTCACGTGAGGTTCATCTGCTCCATCAGGAATTGTCCTATTATCGGTAATAGTCACATCAATGGTAGTAACTTCATGAAGGACTTCACTGTTTCCCTTCTCAAAACCGAGTAAAGTTTCTTCTTCAACAGTGGCCTTTCCAGGTGACACGTCTTCAGTGGCGTCATTTGTTCCGTTATTCACTTTGTCCCAACTGAAATGTCTTGGACCGTGATAACGCCAAAGCCCGTTGCCATGCACCACCTTTGGCTTACCTCGCCGACCACATTTTATTCGGAAAGTCACGTCTGAGAGACGATCCACTATGTCATATGGGCCTTCCCATGGAGAAGACAACTTAGCAGACTTCCCTTTGGTCTTCCACGGATTACACAACACACCTTGTCTCCTGGTACAAAGCTGACTTCAGTAGACTTCTTATCATAACATAGCTTCACCGAATCAGCAGACGTTTTCAAGTTTGAGCACACTTGATAGTGAATATCATCCATCCTTTCAGATAACACTTTCACAAACTCTGATACATTTTCAGGCAACTCTTCGTAAGGTGGGCGTCCTGTTAACAGATCTACTGGCAACCGAA